CCTTAAGACCCAGCTATACCATTCTTGGCCATTTACCCAAAAGATGTCCCATTCTACCACAAGGACACTCGCTCAACTATGTTCATAGCAGCTTTATTCATAATAACCAGAAACTGGAAATAACCTAGATGTCCCTCAACCAAAGAATGGATAAAGAAAATGCAGTACATTTACACAATGGAGTATTACTCAGTTGTTTTTTAAAAAATGCCATCATGACATTTATAGGCAAATGGATGGAATTTGGAAAAAAGTCATCCTGAGTTAGGTAACACAGACCCACAAAAACAAACATGGTATGTGCTCACTCATAAATGGATATTAGCTGTTAAGTAAATGATAATCATGCTACAATCCACAGACCCAGAGAGGCTAAGTAACAAGGAGGGCCCTAGGGGGAACACGTGGATCTCCCTGGGAAGAAGAAATAGAATAGATTTTGTGGGTAGACTGGGGGCACATGGGGATGGGAAGAGGTAGAATGAGGTAGGGGTGGGAGGGATAGAGGGAGAGACTACTGGTAGATGCCTAGAATTGGGGGGCATTTGTGTGGGGTGATGTGGAAACCTAGTGCAGTGGAAACTCTCCGGAATCTTTGAAGGTGATCCTAGCAAGGACTCCTAGTAATGGAGGATATGGAACCCAAACTGTCCATCTCCTGTAACCAGGCAACTTCCAGTGGTGGGACTGGGACACCAACCCAGCTACAAAACCTTCGACCTACACTCTGCCTTGCCTGCAAGATGTACTGGGGCAATAGTGGTGCAGAACTTGTGGGAGTGGTCTAATTTGAGGCCCATGCCAGCAATGAGAGGAAGCCCATGCCCAACACTGCCTGGATTGTGGGAGCCCACAGAAGCTATCTAGTGAGACCTTACTCAGGGTCAGAGAATCTGAGCTTGCTTTACCCAGCAGGACTGTGTAAGCAGATGATTTGGTCACGGGCATGGTTACCAGGTGTTTGGAGGGTCTACACTTGGCTGTACAGTATTCTTTGATCTTACAAGGAGGAGGTCTTTTGCCTCTCCCCTTGGCATTTATAAAAAGCCCTTTTCAATAAATGATGAGACTGTTGGGTATTGACCCAGGCCTTCATGAAGCTATCCTGTGTCTCTGTCTTTCTTCTAATGGTCTAGGTCTCTCTTTCTATCTGATAGTTCCTCATTCCTCTCTCCTCCACCTAAGAACCCTTCAAAAAGTGGGAGCTGGACTCCCACACTGGATGTCCAGAAACTAAAGGCTGGATATTCCAGAGACCTAGGGTAGAACCAAACACTACTGGCAGAAAAAAAAAAAGAAAAGAAAAAAATCAATGAAATGATTCATAATGATGTTCTGCTATATACATAGATTGGTGCCTAGAGATGCTGCCTCCTGCAGCTGATGAGAGCAGATGCAGAAACTCACAGCCAAGTATTACGCAGAGAGAGAGCCCAGGTTGGAAGTCTTCAATGTGTCTGTCCCCTTAGAGCTTGAGGAACCCTGTAGATGAGGAGGAATTGTGGTGCCCAGAAGGGGTGAGGGCACCTGGAGAGCACAGCCTGTGGAATCAAGTAACCAGGGCTGATGGGGACTCAGAGACTGAAACGGCAATCACTGCGTCTACACAGGTCTGTGCTAGGTCCTCTGCATACATGTTATGGTTGTTGGATTGGTATCTTAGGGAGGGACTCCTGACAGCGAGAGTGGGGGTGTCTATGACTCTTTTTGCCTGTTCTTATGACCCTTTTCCTCCTACTGGGTTATCTCACCTGGCATTGATGTGAGGGTTTGTGTCTGGTCTAATTGTATCTTGTGCCATGTTCGGCTGATGTTCTGGGGAGACCTGCTCTTTTCTTGGGGGAGACTGGGAGGGGAGTGGATGTGCAGAAGCAGGGGAGAGAGTGAAGTGGAGGGGAAACTATGGTGGAGATATGTTGTATGAGAGAATAAATAAAAAGTTTTTTTAAAAAATGACTCCTCCCCAAGAATGAAGAACAAATTTGTGATCATTGAAAATTAAGCAGCTTCCTTAATATCTGGGTCACAATAAGAATTAATGACAACTTTACATAAAAACCTAACAATGCAGGCAAAGTTTCAATCAAAGGAAAATTTACAGTAAATAATACAAACAGAAAAAATATTTCAGTTTTTCCAGGTTTTTAGAGACGATCTTACTATATAGCCCAAGTTGGCTTATAATTTTTTCTTTTTTTCATTTTATTTACTTATCTGTATGTGTATGAGTGTTTTGCCTATATGTATGTCTGTGCACCACATGTGTACCTGGTGCCTGTGGAGGCCAGAAGAGGTGTTGGATCCCTTGGGACTGGAATTACAGTTGTGAGCCACCATGTAGGAACTGGGAATTGAATCCAGTCCCCTGCAAGAGCAACTTGTGCTCTTAACTGGTGAGCTGTCTCTCCAGGACTAGCTCCTCCCCCCTCTTCTCTCTATGCCCTCTCGTATTTTTATTTGTATGTTGTTTTACCTGCATGTTTGTCTGTGTACCACGTGTGTGCAATGCCAGTGGAGGCCAGAGGAGGGCATCAGATTTCATGGAACTAGGATTACAGATGGTTGTGAGTCACTGTGTAGGTGCTGGGAATGGAACCCAGATCCCTTAGAAGAGAAGCAAGTGCTCTTAGCCCCTGAGCCATCTCTCCATCCCTGGTCTCTAACTCTTGGTCTGGCTCAGCCTTCCAAGTCCTGGTGTTACAGGCATGGGCCACCAAAATCAACTTGCTTACATAATTTAGGAGATTAGAAAAAGAAGAGTAGAGAAGGCCACACACAAAGCAACAGTAGGAGCGAATTAATAAATACAAAAATTTTCAAATTAGAAAAACCGAAAACAATATAGAGACAAATGAATACAAATTGTGTGTGTGTGTGTGTGTGTGTGTGTGTGTGTGTGTGTGTGTGTGTGTGTGTGTTTTAACTGAGTTTCTAAGACAGTTCAGTGGGTAACAGCACTCATCACCACAGGCCTGAAAACTGAGTTGGCTCCTAGAACCCACGTACAGGGGGAAGGAGAGAACCAACTCCACAAAATTGTTTTCTGACCTCGACAAACCTGCTATAGCACACATATATGCATGCACATGCGCATACAACCGTGTGCCTATGGCAGCACACTTTAGAGTCAGGAATAAAAGGGATCATTTTCGAAGGATTGGTAACTATATCAGAGCTGACCAAAAACCAGAGAAGAACCAGAATGGCGACAGATGGTTTGCCATCCAGACACAGTATATCTGTAAGTCACTCTTTTAGTCTTCTTTGAATAAAGTCTGAAAGTGGTCTCCTTTCAAATGCTAAGACTTTATGGTTAATATTCTTTAATTTAAAGATGTATTATTATTTTTTATTTTAAGTGTATGAATGTTTTGTCTGCAAGTATGTCTGTCTGCCATGTATGGTGCTGGTGGAGGCCAGAAGAGGACATTGGATCCCCTGGAGCCAACAGTTGTATACTGCCATGTGGGTGCTGGGAATTGAACCTTGCTCCTCTGGAAGAGCAGCCAGTGCATTTAACCACCATTGCTCTAGTCCATAATATTATTCTTTATTAAGTTCTGGGTTCTGTGGTCATTGTGTAGGGGATTCCATCTCCCCATTTCCATCCCTGACCGTTTATTGTGGTTATCAAGAAAAGCCATTCATCTTCATCTATTTATTTGGAATAAAAAAATCTTATCAAATCATCTTTAAATTTAAAACCATTAAAAAAAATCTTTAGCACCTGCATGAAAACATAATTCTCTGTGGCTCTACTGACAAGCAATACCATGTGGAACTCACAGCCAGCAAGGACAGGACCTCAATCCTATGAAGATATGAATGAATTTAGAGGCAAAGTCCCTTTCCCCCACCATCCTTGCCAGCACCTTCAGATAGGAGCCAAGGCCTTGACTTCAGCCTTTTAAAATACTAAGAAAGAATTCTGTGTATAGAATTGTGAGGCAGGTAGACATCATTCTAAGCACTGAATCCATGCTAATTTGCTATTGTGGGGATAGAAAACTAATATATGCCCAGAGAAATAGACTCAGGTACTGGGGATGTCTCAGCCGTTAGGAGCACTTGCTGTTCTTGCAGAGGACACAGGTTTGATTCTCAGTACCTACACGGCAGCTCACAACTACATGTAACTTCAGCTCTAGGGAATCTGTTCTCTTGGACTCTGCAGGCACCACCCATATTCAGGGCTGGTATTTTGTTTTATTTCAACTAGCCCTTCCTTTTCTAAGGACCACAGAAGACTTGTAATATGCACACAGAATACTGCAAAATTGGTACAGTTGGCTCCCCAATTACAACCAGAGAAGCCTCAACTTCTGCCCCAAAGTGGTGGCCTAGCCTAGGTTGGCCTACACCAGGTGGGCAGTGGAGTAGATTAGTACAAGTCTGACAGGTCCCCAGTTTCTTGCAGCCCAGCCTCCCTCTTGCATGGAGTCATGAGGGTTGGGCATATGTGCACTCTTGGCTAGGTGGGCTTTTTATGGCATGGCCAGAAGGGGTCTTACTAGTGTGAGGTTTGTAATGCTCAGGATGAAGCTCTTTTTTTTTTTTTTAAGCCCCTTAAAGACTCTATAGCTGTGACATATCTCTAATGTCACTGACTAAAAGGTTCAAGTCCACTTTTTTTCTTCTATGCCCCTTTCTCTTTCTCTGACTTACCCCTCCCTGCGTGCTTTCAGTTCCCACCTTGCTTCGGTTTCTCTCTCTGTGGAATGGAGTCCAGGGCACGCATGACTCTCAGTCAGTTCTTCTGGGGCAGAGGATTCTATTCTGGCTCTGCACTGATGGTGTTTGGCTCAGGATGGCCAATGGTTTGATCTCCAGGAGTGCCGAGTGAGCCTGATCTACCCTTTCTACAGCTCCTCACCTCCCCCACCCCTTGCCCAGTACCCATAGTAATCTCAGAAGCCCCTGGGACCTACATGTATTTGGCCCTGTTCATCATTCACAGCGCTGCGGGCCAGACCTAGGCTGTTTTAAATGTGATGGCCTACCTGGGCGTTGGAACCGGCAGGCCCTGGTCTGCCATGTGCCACTGTCGGAAGTCAAATAGGGTGACGCCTGCGGGGAGATGTAAGATGGGCAGGCGGGAGGGTACGTTCTAACCCGCCTGGGTAGGAAAATCCAGCCTCTTTTTGCAGCCCAGCGCTCGCCCACGCTGGTTCTCCGCAGGGGCTGATTGCTCGGCGGGCTCCCTAGCTGCAGCCCAAGCCAATCAGTGTGTGCGCGCCGCGAACAGCAGGCGGCGGCCCGCTGAGGGCGGGTGGGGTGAGACGCGAGGAAGTCTCGGGGGCAGCAGAGCTGCTGGCCTTGGCAGCACAGCTCCCGGGAGTGCACCGCGGGTGGGCTCCGCAGGTCCGGCCCGGGCAGCGCTCCCTCGCGGTCACTGGATCGTAAGGCATCTGCTGCCATCTGGTGGCTGCGCTCCTGCAGGTGCGCCATCAGCGCTTGCAGGCCCTGCTCATAGCTGCACCCAGAGCCTCTGGAACCACACAGTGTCCACGCTGCCACCTCTTTCCCTGCTTGGGATTCTCCTGGCAGAGTGAGAAAGCAAGCATCCCCAAGAAGGCCATGTGTACAATGGTCGGTGTACAGACATGGGAGGCAAGCTCGGTATGCCCCAGCTAAGTAGCAGGAGGCAGGGCCTTTCATCTCTCTGAACCCCTTTTATTATTCTGTAAGTTGGAGTTGATAGAACTGCATGCCTTTTGAAGCCTTTGTAATGATCAGCTGGGTTGATTCAGGTCAAGCCTCGGGTCAAAGCATGCTAACTGTTATTGGGTGTCTTAGAGTTACTATTGCTATGATGAAAAACCATGACCAAAAGCAAATTGGGGAGGAAAGGGTTTATTTGGCTTACATTTCCACATCGCAGTCAAGCACTGAAGAAGTTCAGGACAGGAACTCAGCCAGGGAAGGAACCTGAAGGCAGAAGCTGATGCAGAGACCATGGTGGGGGAGGCGGTGCTGCTTACTGGCTTGTTCATCATGGCTTGCTCAGCCTGCTTTCTTACAAACCTCAGGGCCAACAGCCACAGGATGGCACCACCCACAGTGGGTTGGGTCCTCCCCTATCAATCACTAATTAAGAAAATGCCCTACAGCAGGAAGTTATGGAGGCATTTTCCTCATTGAAGTTCTCCCCTTTTAGTTAACTCTAGTTTGTGTCAAGTTGACATCAAACACTGGGGTAGACTGCAGATAGCAGGCATATGCAAGGCATAGAATGAAACACACAGACACAGGCACAGGCACACACACCAGATGAGTGTGCTCACTGGTCATGTCATGGATTTTCACTTTTTCCATCTGTAAAATGGGAATACCAATGCTGGCTTCCACCCCTAGGTTGGTTAACTAATAACATGGCTCTACCACTCTGAGGACAGATCTACTGGTTGTCCTGGGTCTCCTAGGTCTTCCTTCCAACTATAAGCTGATTCTCAACCAGTTTGCAAGCTCTCACAACTGTGTCCAAACCTTGAGACTCTGTCTCCTGCCTTATAGATAAGGCTTATTCTCTGTCTCCAAACCCTCTCTCCAAGGTCACAGACTAAAAGATCCAAATATAGAACAGATCATTTTCTTTGACCCTTTTCAATGTGGCCCTACAGGAGCAGCTGCCTCACTCCCTCTAATAAGACATGGTAAGAGGACTCAGGTGGTAACGGTGCTTGCCAACCAAGCCTGATGGTCTAAGTTTGATACTCAGGATCCACATGATGGAAGGAGAGGAGAGACTTCCTTTTCTGACCACATATGCTCTGTGGCATACACACAAACAATGAATAAACGTAATAAAAATGTTAAAAAGATGATAAATTGAAGGGCAATAAACAACTCTTAAAAAAGGAAAGTGATCAGGTGTGGCGGCACAGGCCTGTGGTCCCAGTATCCAAGAGGCTGAGGCTGGAGCATCGAGAGAGAGAGAGAGAGAGAGAGAGAGAGAGAGAGAGAGAGAGAGAGAGTTCTGCAAGCAGCTACTGTCCCAGAGACGTGCTAGGCTGGCTGCACACAGTTCCAGCAGGCACACAGCTGCCATGGCTCTCAGCATGTAGCAGGAGGAGGGCTACAGAGCCGGGTGTGACAGCCAGGTACATTCTGGAGGAAGGGGGATGTCTCAGCAGTGGCAGTGCATAGTGCTCAGCCTGTGGAAACGCCAGCTCCAATTCAAAGGTATCAAATATTTGCTTAGCTGTTCAACATTTCTTCAAATAATATACTCACAACTAATTCATATCTAGACTCGACGTCTTCATCTCTCTCAAGCCTCCCTCCTGGATTAGCTGTCTTGTCTATTCTGGGAGAAAATTGCCCTACATTCTAAAAATAGGCATTGGAGCCCGGACACCGGCATGTACCATCAGAGAAGACTTTATTTATTTATCTTGAGAGCTGTCCTCTGGGGACAGCTGCAGCTGAGCCTAGGGACACATTCATCAAACAACTCAGGTACATGGAAGAGGCTGAGACCACTAAGGTCTATGCTGCTTGCTGCCTTCCAAAAGAGGCCAGGCTCTGTTCCTGAGGGTGTCCTTTGACATTTGGGCAGGGTAGTGCTTCTTAGAGACAAGATCCTCTCTTGTCCAAATATGGCTCCTTTTTTCCCCTTGGGGGTTAGAAGCCCAGGATGTCCCTGTAGCTTCCAGGACCCAGCAGAAATGAAAGCATGCTTATGATGAGGACTTGAAAAGTAGGGGCAGACTCTGGGTCTAATGGGTACATAGAGGAGCTATGACCCATAAAGTTAGAGCCCAGGGAATGCCTAACTTCCAGCTTTGCCCCTACCTCAGTCTCTTCTTGGTACTCACATGGTCCAACTATCCAGAAAGTTGAAGGGAGCATCCACGTGGGAGTGTCTGCTTTTGGAGGGAGGTGTAAAGAGCAGGTAGAGAAGGGTACAGAAGGGCATACAGGCCTTCCGCTTTCATCTGTGAGCCTCCGGCCTGATTCCTGATCGTTTGCAAAGACTCTGGCAGCTCTGTTCCCAACCTGGAGGTCTGCCCACCGCCTCCCGAATTACACAGAGGGAGCCAGGCAGCTCCCTCTAGGGACCTCACTACATCCTGGCTTTTTCTGTCATACCCTCCACACCTCGTCCGTCCGTGTTGCTCTAAGTGAAACCAATCAGGAGTTCATTCCCAGCTCCCCGGCTCCCTGAGCACCACCAAGCCCTTATGGTGAGCTCCTACTGTGTGCCCAGCTCCAGAGCTGAATCCTGTCAGTATGCAGTCAGTCCATCATTCAGCCAGTTAGTCTGGGTAATTACTTCACCAGGGCTCTGGCATTGACCCCACAGCCGCAGAAGGCAAAGCCTTTGCTTTTGACAGAACTGTGTTTTGAATTGCCATCTTCCTGCCTCAGGCTCTCATCCAGCTGGTGTTAAATGGAACAAAATCCCCCCCAAATGAATAGTGTCTTAGGAGGTATGTCCACTTTTGGGATAACTCCCAGTATCGGTTTTCACCCAGTTACAAAAAAATTCCTACTCTCCTAATCTCATATATGCAGCCAGCTAATGCAAAATGAAATTCCATGTGATTTTTTGCTTATTTTTAAGTCCACTGGGCACATCGTGGCTGATCAGTGCTCTGACATTTTTCTTCCCTCATTAAGAAAGATGCCCCTTGTGAGTTACCTGTGCTTGGTTCAGAGCAGAAAATAAATATCGCTGGCATCCACTTTCCTGTTCTCTCTGGGTGTAATTAAGAAGAAGGCACCTGCAGAAGAGGGAAACAGAGTGGAAAGCAGGCTAGTGGCTACCGTTCACAAGATCTCCTGCATGGGGTGGGGCAGGCAAGTCTCCAGAGAGCTATGGAATCAGGGCACAAACTCTCCCACTTGCATCAGTGGCTCAGTCCAAATATGGGGGAGGGGATACAAAGCCTGCCCGAGAGTGCCAGTCTGTGGCTGAAACTTTAAGAGTGATAAGGAAATGAGGAGATGGGAGATCTATAGAATGCTCAGCTCACTATGCCCCTGCTTTATCTTCTGGTCCTTAATTTCTAGGTGGAATTTTTAGCTCCCAGGGGTGGACTGTTTTCTTGTCTGTCCCATATCATCCGAACACAGAACAGGGCTCTAAGACAATGAGTAAAAATGCTCATCGCCACCCATAGGTAATGTCAAAAGGTCTCCTGTGCAATGTTCAATTTCAAATCTGAGGTGGGAGAGAAGTAAACAGGAAACCCAGCAAACTCCTTGGCACTCAGCTGGCATGGGTCCATCTGATAGAGGAAATAGCATTTTCACACTGAAAATGTTCACCTCAGTTGTCCCTGTGTTATCCAGAGTAGACCTTTTGTTCTTTAGGTCCTAAAATAGATGTAGGACATGAGTGATGGGTTCAGGTCCCAGCACTGGGACTCATCAGTGAGCAGGGTGAGAAAATCCTTTAGCCTTTCCCAGGCTAACTGGGAGAATGGGTATCCACAGTACTCAGGAGGGCTGTAGGGTCATACGGCACTTGGACTAACAGTACTTCTCTAGGTGGCTGCCCCAGACCACGGGTAGAAGGTTCACCACTACCTCTGCAGCTCTTTGACTCTCTCAAAACAGCTGGCAGCTACCTTATATCCATGTTAGCAGAGTGTGCTCATTCCTCTCCACCTTGCCTTGGGCATTGCTGAGATTCAAAAGAGCATATGTTAGGGTTGAGGATGTTGCTAGGTGGTAGAGTACTTGCCTGGCATGCACAAAGCCAGGGTTTCTATCCTGAGCAGTGAAAAGCAAACAAAAAGATAAATCTGGCTGGGCAGTGGTGGCGCACGCCTTTAATCCCAGCACTTGGGAGGCAGAGCCAGGTGGATCTCTATGAGTTTGAGGCCAGCCTGGGCTACCAAGTGAGTTCCAGGAAAGGCTCAAAGCTACACAGAGAAACCCTGTCTGAAAAAAACAAACAAACAAAAAAAAGTAAATCTGTTGAGTGATGTGTCAAAACTAATAGGCACCAGCCAATACTCATGAAAATAACAAATCGTTTTGTTAACTTCTGGGAGTTTTCTGCATCCCACCCCTCCCTTGGCAGGAGAAGGAACCTCGTACAATCTTGGGGATCCCTCCAGGTAGAGGCTGAGGATCCCAGAAGCAGAATTAATGGTGTCCTCAAATGCTCACACATGGCTCCTCCTGGCTCCTCCTTCAGCAGCACATCTTAGCAGGGTCTCAGCCAGCAGGAGCTCCCTCACCTTCCCTCAGTCTCCCCTGAGATGTCTAGCAGACACGGAGTTAATAATTTACAGAGGCATCTCTGGTCTTCCCACCTGCAGCCTGCAAATTTGGGCTAGCACTGGGAATTCAAGAGACCCAGCAAGCTTAGTTAGTCCTGCGACCAGGAGGCCAGCATCTCAGGCTTGGATTT